GTTTGTTCATTAGATTCCACATGAGTGAAATCATATGGGACTTGTCTTTCTCTGACTGGCTCATTTCACGTAGCATAATGTTTCCCAGGCCTATTCATGCTGTTGCAAGAGGTAAATTTTTCCTTTTTACCATCAAGTAGTATATCACAGCTGCTTTATTCATTCATCTACTGATGGACACTTGGGCTGCTTCCAAATCGTGGCTATTGTAAATAACACTGCAATGAACATGGGGGTGCGTATATACTTAGAATTAGTGTTTCAGAAATGCAAATTAAAACCACAATGAGATATCACCTCACACCTGTCAGAATGGCTATCACCAATAAATCAACCAACAACAAGTGCTGGTGAGGATGTGGAGAAAAGGGAACCCTCATGTACTGTTGGTGGGAATGCAGACTGGTGCAGACACTGTGGAGAGCAGTATGGAGTCATCCAAAACATTAAAAATGGAACTGCCTTATATCCCAGGGATTCCACTTCTGGGAATTTATGCAAAGAAACCCCAAACATGAATGTTATTATTTTTTTTAATGTAATAATTCTAAAAGATTTCCTGCAATATGTTTAACACTGGGAAACATTCACCTCATCTGTCCTCTTAAGCAATGACATGCATCATTCATATCTTGGGAACCTATCTTTGGGATTTTAATTTAAGCATAATAGTTGTATGTGAACAAGCACAATGATTTAGGGCAGTAAGAATCACCAAGTAATTCTTCATAGAACGTAATAATTATTATCATCAGATGTATATCCAAGAATGAGAATTCTCTGTGTCAATTAACTAAATATGCTAATTTTGCCACAGATAGATGCTTGATTGTAACAGCAGATCCTATGTGCCTGGGAAAGCACTGTTTTACAGGCATTTGGAGGAGAAGGGCTGTGGTTTAAAAATATATATATAACGTGAAAATATAGACACATATTCAACTCTTTGACAACAAAGGAAATATTCTGATCTTTCAGAATAGATGAGAGAAAACAGGTATAGCTCGCAGATACTACAGTTCAGTTCCAGACCACCACAATAGAGCGAGTATCACAATAACGCGAATTGTAATCTTTTTTCTGGCAGAGGTCTGGACTTCCATTTATAAAAAAATAAAAAACGACATCTGTAAAGTGCAATCAAACAAAGTATCCCTGTATTTGTCAGTTATGGAAGCAATTGGTTATATACTTAAACATATGGACATATTTGTGTTTACACTCACACACACAAATATTTTATTTTTAATCTTACTGCTTTATTGTTTTACTTGTACACACAAGTACATCAGTTTGCAATAACCCATTTCCCAGGCTTCCAAGTACATGGAAATAAAAACTTTCATTGGAATTACACTGCCACCCCAGGAACAGTTCTACATATATCGCTTCTTTAAATTCTGCCCTAAGAACACACTTGGACTATCAAATGGTGCACTAGAACTTGTACATCAACAATAGCAAAAATTTATTTTTTTTAGTCCTCACCCAAGGACATTTTTTAGATATTTTGTTCAGATAGAGTGGGAGGAAGAGAGAGAGAGAGAAATATCAACGTGAAAGGGACACATCGAGTGGTTGCCACCCGCACAACCCAACCAGGGCTGGGGACAAACTGCAACCGAGGTACGCACCCTTAGTGGGAACCGAACCCAGGTCTCTCTGGACCGCAGGCTGATACTCTAACCGCTGAGCCAAACTGGCCAGGGCAACAATAGTAAAAATTTAAATTGCCTGTTATAATTCAAACAATACTGAAACTGCAACAATAGAAATATTATGTGAAGGCAGAGGGAGATTTAATTCCATTATATAGCCAGGATTAGTAGTGATGGTTTTTTTGTATGTGTTGTTTATAGTGAGGTTTGGATTACATGTCTCTGAGCTTTGAAATCTGCCAGGTTCCAATTGAGATGCATCTTCCCAGTGCAAAGGAAGCATGAGAAGAGTTACTTACTCCGTGGCACTTGTACTGGTTTCCTAGGGCCGCTGGAACAAAGTATCAGTAAATGGGCTGCTTGAAAGAACAGAATGTTTCCTCTTACAGTTTTGGAGCCTAGAAGTCCCAAATGAAGGTGTCAGCAGGTTCATGCTCTCTCAGTAGGCCTTAGAGAAGAATCCTTCCTTGCTTCTGGTAGTTGCTGGCATTCCATGACTTGTTTTGGTTTGTAGCTACATCATTCCAATGTCTGCTTCTGTCTTTACCAACCCTCCATCTGTCTTTTCTGTCTCTGTATGTCTCCAAATCCTATTCTCCTGATAAGGCCTTGTTTGGAGCCTACTCTAATCTGACAGAACCTTATTTTAACTTATATCTTCAAAGACTCTATGTCCAAATAAGATCACATTTACAGTATCAAGGTCAAGATTTGAATGTATCCTTTGAAGGACACAATTCCACCCACAATGGCACTCAAGTAAAAAATTTTAATGAATATACCTCCCCCCCCAAAAAAGATTAATTTTTCTTCCCTAATGGCAGAAGTAGGAACATTAATCTTTTCTCCTTTCCCCATTAGAGGGCCGAGTCATTTTCGCAGTTCTTCCACAGTTGGACAGCCGTGGGTTGTGGATCTTGATTTCTCACATCTTGTCTGTCCATCTTTGGCTCGAAGTTTTCCAGATTCCACAGAAAGAGTTTACCCGACCTGTGTTTCTAGGACACCAGGGCTTTTATTTGCTGATTTGGTTTATGTATACATGACCTGCGGACATGGCTGAATACACTTCCATAGCCTGATGTAAATACTACAAGAAATGTTGCCATACCAGGAATAATATATAGCCTTTAATAAATCACTCAAAATCTGACATTCCTTTGTGAACGCTTCATGTAATTAAGAGGGGGGAAAAAAGAAACACTAAATGAAAAAGAAAAATGTAATCAAGTAGGTTGACAACCAGCAAAAGATAATTAAAATGATCCTGTTTTGTTTCTCTGTTTCATTAACATGCAAATGAGATTCATGAAGTTTGATATTGTGTTTCACCAAGAGCCATAGAAATGAATTAAGAATGAAAATGAGTCCCACTGATGGAGGTTTCTGACGAGTATACGAATTAATGAAAAAAATAATTTTATCCAATTAATAACTTACATATACTTTTTGTGATTTATTGAACCTCAACAAATGAAATAAAGAGAGTTCAATTAAATTCTGTATCTCTTTCTAAGGACCAAATCCTGTGAAAGCTTTTATTCCTCAAATGGAGTAGTGGCAAATGTTAAACTCTGCTCTTCTTTAAAGGAGGACAAGATAGACCTCTTTCTAAGAGCAGTGCTGTGCCGGCAGAGTTCCTACTGGGAGGACCACGGGCACTGGATCAGGGCGGGCCTCAGAGGGTTTAGGAGAGACCACTTGTCTATGCTCAATCAGGAATTCAGAATTGAAAATAGGGAGAGAGAGTCCAGTGTGACCAATAACTCTCCTTACAAAGCAAATAAAAGTAACAGACAAACATTGACACAAATATATCCAAGGTTTCCTAAATTTCCCTTTGATACAAACATCTCAGACATTACTCTCAGTTGATACTCTCACACTCAGAAACACAGGGAAGTTACATCAGTTCTACACAATAAGAAAAGAAACAGACATAAGTAATTGTCTCAAATAATATGACATGAAATTTTAAAATAAACTTAAAATCATGCTAAGCTGTTGGATATTTATAATGTGTACCAGATGGCAAAACACAAACCAACATACACACACATGCACACATGATCTATTTGTTATATCTAAGGTTCAGTGAACTCAAACATTAAACAGCAGAACCAAGGATAACGTCAAGGAGTAAAACTGGAAGAAGTGGGCTGACATATGGCATGCTAGGAGAGGATAATAAATGAACAGATCACAGTTTTAATAATGTATGATGTGTCTACTGCTTTATGGTTGTTAAACATGTTTTCTGTGTTAGTACTGCCATAGAGTACATGGACAGATCTTTTTTGCTTTAGCAGATTATAAAAAGGAACCACAATAACGTTCTGTCCCTAAATGCACAGAGTTTTGAAATTCTCTCTTTTTCATACAGCAAGTTGCCATTTAATTATCTGCACTTTCCTTTAAACGTCTTCGGGCAATCAAACACAACCTAGGAGTCAGCAGTATGAACTGAGTGCTCTTAAAGGAAGGCGGATTCAGTTCCCGTTCCTCGACAGGAGAGCAAATCACGTTACCCACACTGAGAATGAAACACACCGAACGCTTATTATTTTTAAATAACTAGCAACTTCTAAAACTACTTCTTCTTGCAAACTTTCTTGCTTATCTTGAAACAGAGGGCCAAAGAAATTATGGCTACTGTATACATAATGACTGTATACAGATGTTTCTTGACTTACAATAGGGTTACCTCCCACTGAATCCATCCTAAGTTGAAAATATCATAAGTCAAAAATGCATTTAATACACTTAACCTACTGAACACCATAACTTAGCCTGGCCTACCTTAAACATGCCCAGAACACACTATCCAAAAATGTTGGCAACACAGTACACTACAGAGTGTCTGTTGTTTAACCTTGTGATCCTGTGCCTGACTGGGAGCTACAGCTCACTACCACTGCCCATCAGCCCCAGACAGTGTGGTACACATACCACTAGCCCAGGAAATAATCAATATGTATCACTTTTGCACATCAAAAAGTAAAAAAAAAAATTCTAAGTCAACCCATTGTAAGCCAGGAACCACCTCTATTGTTGTAGAAAAGTTTATTTTGTAGGATACATTAAAAAGCCTGCCAGATTGAAGGAATTCAATTCTTTAGGTGCTGAAATGATCACATAGGATTTGAACATGGGCTGCATCCCCCTGCCATTCCAGAACCAATCCTACACATCATGTATATCCCGTGAGCTACTACCATTTGCTTACTTAGAAATTTACTTCCATTTACAATATATCGCTTATAATGATTTTATTTTAAAAGAATAGAAAATTAATGAGATTCATCATGAACCAATGGGGGCGGGGGAGGGAGACAGACTTACCATCTCTTCGGTTTAGCCTTGCAAACCCAGGACCGTGGCTGCTCGAGAGCTCGGATGAACTGCTGAAAGACGCCTGCGACAAGGCAGACACCAGGGGCTCATCACAATCGTCTGCCAAGAGGAAAACATCCATCCAGATTAGTACAGTGCTGACAGCTTTCTTGGCGTCAGTAAATAAAAGAAACAAACAAAACAAAATAAGAAAAACTAGAATCTCTAACTATATACCCACTGTTTATATGCAATCTTCTCCTGTAGGTCTATTAAGTTCAATAAGAAAAGAAAAAAAATTAAAGACAGGAGAATATGAAAAAGGAGAAGGCAAATTGTATAGAAATGATAAAATGATATAATACCTTCATGTAGAAAAATTTTACTTAAATAAGAAACAAAAATACCTAACTTAGTGTACCTAACTTATAAATAAACTTATATAGGATTTCTAAATTTAACTATATAAAAATTAAAAACGTATGGTGACCAAAAGTTATGTAAAGTAAAGAGAAATATACTTGCAAAACAGTATTCAATTTATATTCCAAATTAAGGAAAACAAAATAAAATAAAGAAAAACAAAAACTACCTTTAACCCAGTTAGCCAACACATTAGGGGAAAAAAAAAAAAAAAAATGGCACAAGCCAAAATCAGAGAGTTCACCAAAGAGAACCAATATAAATTGATGTTCAAACTCAACAGTAAAAAGAAATGTAAATCAAGACTACAATCAGATACTATTTTACAGATGCTAAATTAACAGGAATTCAGAAGTCTCACAACACCAATCATGCATTCAATGTGGGCCAAGAGAGGTTCCCAGCAATGCACTGCTAGTGGGATTGCAAATTTAAGCAAGTATTTTTAACAAGCAATGTGTCCATTTGAACCTTCCCTACCTATGTTCCGCCAGTTCCATTGACAGGTTTTCTTGGAGAGAGTGGTCTTAAAATGAATCACTGCTCTCAAGGCACTTTGACTTCTTACTCAAGGATGCAATACAAATACTCTAGTATTTTCTGTATTCCGTGAAAAGAAAAAGGTTGGGTAGCAATGACCTAGAGAAACTCTTGCACTTGTACACCAGCAGATGTGTGCAATTTCTAGCAACGTTGCTCATCATAGCAAAAAATTGTGAACAGAGTGGGGGTGTGCAGGAAGAGATAAACCAAAGAGTTTATATGCATATGTACACAACTCATGGACACAGACAATAGTGTGGGGAAGGCAGGAGACGGATGAAGTGGGGAGGAGGGGTCAATGGGGTAAAAGGAGGGGGGGACATCTGCAATGCTTTCAACAATAAAGATAATTTTTTTTTTAACTCAAACTTCCAAATACCAAAGAACAGATCAATAAATCATAGTACTTTCATAACGGAATAACAAACAACAGTAAAAAGAAACCACACCAACATATCAAAAAAAAAAAAAAAAAAAGGTTGGATCTTAGAAACAAAATTTTCAGTGAAAAAAATCAAGTTATAGAAGACTATATAACGTTTCATAGTTTTGAGAGTTCTAAAAATTAACAAAGCTAAGTAACATTTGTTTGAGGACACATAAGTTTAAAAAAAAGAAACTATTAAGGAGATTTGATTTAGGGTGGTGAATACAATACAATATACAGATGATGTGTTATAGAACTGTACACCTGATGCCTATATAATTTATTAACCAATGTAACCCCAATACTTTTCAATAAAAATTTTTTAATTAAAAAAAATAATTTTAAATAAAGAAATAGCCCTGGTCTGTTTGGCTCAGAGATCAGAGTGTTGGCCCTCGGAGCAAAGGGTCTCAGGCTCAATTCCCAGTCAAGAGCATGTACCTGTGCTGCAGGTTTGATCCTTGGCCCTGGTCAGGGTCATGTGGAAGGTGACCAATTGATGTGTCTCTCTCGTATCGATGTTTCTCTCTCTCTCTTCCTCTCCCTTCCTCCCTCCCTCCCTTTCACTCTAACAACAAAAATCAATGAAAAAATATCCTTGGGTGAGGATTAACAAAAAATAAAAATAAAGAAATGAAAAGTATAAAATTTAAGTTAATTGGAAGAAGGCAAAATATATACAAAATAAGAATACATGGGAAATATATATATATAAAATAAGAATACATAGGAAGTATATACATATCTATTACCTAACCTTTTATGTGTATCATATATAAAATTTAAACATAAGGCACAAAGAGAGAGGGAAAATATAAGAATAGTCAGTCTTATGTTGACCATGATATCCATACATGCTTATTTTATTCTGCAAATTCTTCATTCTATGCAAGGTATTTGTCTTTTATTTTATACAATTATTAAAAGATTGTCATTTTTGTTCTGATCAGAAAAATATTTCTCTCATATTTAGGATGCAACACATATTGGTAATGAAAAATCATGCAGGGTTATAGTCCCAATTCTTAATAATAAGCAATTTAATTTAATTTAAATGAAATTAATCTAAAAATTATCTAGAGCATTCTAAAATTATGAAGCTTATTCTGCTTGAACATAGCTTTTTTTTAACAATCACAAGCAGTTTTACCGCTTAAATATTCAAATTACAATACTTTTCTGCAGTCCTGCTATTGAAATATGTTTTTCTTTAAAGCTAAATGTCTAAAGCATAAGTGATAAGTAAAAATTTACCAACTTAACATTTTAATGCCTTTCATAAGAATTTGCCTAAGATAGCATTTTATTTTTTAAGATCGTCTCATTTTCATTTTAAAATTTACTTTTTCTTCTTTCACACCTTAAATTATTTAGCTAACTCTTAAGACAGACTTGATAACTGCCCTACAGTTCCTGTATGTCTCTTTATTGGCTTAAATGCTGACACTGTCAATCTAGTTGCAATTCAAGTATTAAGAAGTGTAGACATTAAAAGACACACAACCCATGGAGCACTGAAGCAAATTCTGATTATGTGCAATCACAAACAACAATACACTTTAGTGCACTGTGGAAACTATTACCTGTGTGTTTGTACGTACAAAAGAGAGCATCATCTATGGGGGTAGGGAGTGCACATATGTGGTGTATGTGTGTGTGTGTGTGTGTTTACCAGAAGTACATATTTAATTATTAGTAGTATTCAGGTGAGAGTGAGACAAAAAAGATACTTAACTGAAATTCACAATCAATTACGGAGATTCAAATAAATATTTTGAACGTAAAATGCCTCTAGTGCAATCCATTGATCTAGAAGGCGTGTTTTATTGTTCATTTGTTTTGCCACTATAAAATAAGAATCAATCCTGTTCTATTTTTAGCTTGAAATGGGGTTAAAATAGAGAAGGGCTGCCCCGCCAGTGTGGCTCAGTGGGTGGAGGTAGTCCCATGCACCAGGAAGTGGTCTGTCAAGACACAAGCCAGGGTGTTTTAATCTCTCTCTTTTAAAAAAATCAATAAAAAAATATTTTTAAAGTTTTAAATAAGAGACAGGGTCCTTATTCCGTTTGTGGGGTGAGGGCCATGTGATATGGGAAACAGATGGAGGAATTGATCAGGGGGCTCCTGATGTTTGGTAACGTGCCAGTTGTCGGCCTGAGTGATGTTACATGGCATTATTACTCTTTGCCATGAGGATATACGGTACCTAACAATCTGTAGTATGTTTATTTAGCAACAAAATATTCTAAAATTATTCTTATATAAAACTTAAATACTAACTAGCATATTAGCACACGTTCAGTGAGTGCTCTGTGCTAAGAACAAGCATTTCACACATAGTATCTTTGCCATTCCTCTTTAAAGTACTAATATTATTTTTATATTACAGATGAGGTAACTGAGAAAAGAATTTGATTAACTTGCTCATCTCATTGTCATGGGACCATATTTACAAACTGTATTGAGGTCTAGAATCCAGTATGTAAGAACACCGTGACCACAATGATTATGTCTTTAGATTTGGAGTGTAGGAATTTCATCAGACACCATAATGACATGAATAAAATATCTCTCAAAAAGTCATGTACTCCAATTCCAGGTTTGCCAAGCTATTTGTTTATAACCAATTTGGTCTTCAATAGTCTTGACACCAGGAAGGGGGGAGTCTCAGACAGCAAGAATGAGTTTGGTATGAGTAAAGGGAATATTTCCCTCTAGACATTAATTAAATGAAATTCTGAAGTGTCAGTCTCCTGTGAATTTAATTCCTGAAAACCAGTTTTCTCTTGCTGCAACAATAAATACAGTTAAATGCAGGCTCTGGTCATGCAAAGCTGAGAACCACAACTGGGGGTGACTTTGCCCCCCAGGGGACATTGAGAAATTTCTGGAGACACTTTGGTCATCACAATTTGGAGGTACTCCTGGAATCTAGGGGGTGGTGGCCAGTGACGCTGCTGAACATCTTCCAGTGCACAGGGCAGCACTTCACAACAGAAAACTATCTGGTCCCAAATGTCAATAGGGCAGCAGCTGAGAAATCGTATTCTACACTCTGGTAAAAACAACCCAGTGCACTAGTCTTATGAGCTAATCTCTCAGCTAGAATTCTCAGCTTTCTCTCAAATTTTAATCGTTATTAGCTCTAATTTACAGCTTTTCAGAGTGCATCTAATTATTCTCCAGAGTGCATAAGCATAAAGGCATTTAAGTAAGGAGGTTTTCAAATCTGAAATAACATACTATTGCAATTCAAAACATAATTATACTGTTTTTTAATTAAGTACTATATTATATCACTTCACAGGGACATATCTATGTACACATATTACATAGATATTAGTATACATGTATTATATGATATATTATATCTTATTTGTATCTGTACTAAAATTATATATAATAGATATATACATGCATACACATATATATTATAATGCTCATATGTTATATACATACATATGTATATTTTATTATAATGCATACATGTATATAAGCTAAGTTGGCCACTAAATCATAAGTGTAAATGATGGCCTAAACTTATTGTATGATATCCTTGTATAAATATGTATGAACACATTTATATATGTATACATATTACATACATATAAATGTATTACTAACAATATATATGATTATATGTGTACATATACATATAATATGAATAAATTTCATATATTCATATTGTGATGTTAAATATACATCACACAATTGTACATATAATAGT